TGAATCATTGTACCACGTTTTAATTCTTGTCACAGTTTTGGAGTGGGATGTCTAACATCTTGTCAGAGGATGGGCAGGAGAATGTTCATAGTAGGGGAATATTGTGGCAGCTTCTAAAATGTTACTCCAGGGCCTATGGTTTGTATGTGCTTATAAATTAAGTCTTTATTTTTAACAGTGATATCCCAAAAGCTCCTAAACCTGAACCTCCCGTACCGGAGACGAAGGAAACTTCACCAGAACGTAATTCAAAGAAGGAGAGAGAGAAAGAAAAAGAGAAGACTCGTCAAAGATCCCCAACTCGGTCCAAGTCAAGGTCAAGATCTCGGTCACGCTCTCCATCTCATTCTCGACCAAGAAGGCGTCATAGATCACGGTCAAGGTAGGACTTCAGTTTATCTTGATCATGAAGGTTGAGAACTGAATATTTTCTTCTGAAGGTGCCACTTAATGTAATGTTCTCAGTTAAAGCAGTAATGTTGTTAGAGATGTTGAGCTATGAATGTTTTAGGCCAAGTGAGAAAGATGCATTCAATGGATAAACAAGTTTGGGAGTTGTTTTCTTCCTATCAGTTCATGAGAAGATGCTCACAGTGACTGATACTCACTGGAGAAGGAATGGGGTACTTAATGCTGAGTACGGCACTTTTTAAATAGTGGGAATTGTGTAGCCTTCTTTTAGGAGATAGGTTTGATGCTGAAGATGCTGTAAATTACTTTTTTTTTTTCCTTTTTTGGGGTTATTTTACTACTTAGTGGAAAGGCGTTGGTAAACTTTAAAGCACTGATTGCGTCTGAATGTACATTTTGCATCATAATCTAAATGCTACTTTAATGTGATGCACTTGGAGAAAAGGAACTTTACGCTCAGTGCCCTGAGGATAAATTTCCTCAAATCTGAAAATTAGATAGTTGCTTTTCATTTGAATTTTTGATTATGACAGGTCTTACTCCCCTAGAAGGAGACCAAGCCCAAGACGACGACCATCTCCAAGGAGAAGGAGCCCTCCAAGGCGAATGCCTCCCCCACCCAGACACAGAAGAAGCAGATCCCCTGTGAGGCGGTAAGATTCCCTTTTTTGAGACAACTGAAATGTTAAACTTCAAAAGCTGAAGGGAACATTAGTTGTGAGGAATGAGTGTTATCAAAATTACCTTGTTCATCTTACCTTACTACTGTCAGGTATATGATTTGAGTGACGTAAAAACTGCAGTGTCATATTTCATAAGTGTGTTGTGGGGGAACATAATAGTAGCTGTGAAATGATTTCTTTTGAGTTGAAATAGTGGTGAGAATTCCACCTTTATGAAAAGTGGCAATTTCAGAACTGTAACTTCTTCAAATGGCTCTGGATAGCTCCCAGCATAGATTGACATGACATCTTTTAGGACTTTTTTGCTTAAGTCTTAATACTTTTTTTTTTTCCTGCCTGGGGAAAAAATTAGAACAAGTAACTGGATTTTACTTGTTGGGAGCTTTTAAACTATGACTTAGATTTCTATCACATAAAATTAAAATAAAAATTAAATTTTGACTTGAAATGTGTTTCTTTTTCATGTTCTTTTACTTAAAAAAAAAAAAAAAAAATCTTCAAGGTCTGCTCTCCAGTGTCGGAGGTTACATTTTTGACAGCATAAGCAATTGTTCTAGTAGCAAAGCTCTGAGTTGCCTTGCAAAAAAAATTATGTACTTAGGGCAATGTCAAAACAGACATTTGTCTTTGTAGGAAGAGAATAGATTCCTATCCTTTTCATAGGAAGAGAATTAAAGTGATGCTTCCTGTGTACAGCAGTTCTTTTTTAGGAAGGAACAGTTCTTCCTTTTTATGACAAGGTGATGACTATTCTTTTTTTTTTTTTCCTGAGTTTGCAAAGATGTTCATTTCACACAGTTACTGGGAAAACTGTGGAAAGTATCAAACATGTATGGTGCAAGATGTACAAGAGCTCCCTTTCAGCAAATGTTTATCTCACTCAAGGTAGGGTTTCTTTTTTCCAGGTTCTCAGGAATTCTGCAGCCAAAGGTGGATTCTGCAGGTACACAATTGCAACAGAACTTGCCACAAATTTTGCCGCAGAATTCTAGAGGCCCTACCTTTTTAAAATTACGAAGTAAAGATGAAAGACTAAAACATAAGAATGGATAGATTGATTCTGAATTGTTAAGTTGTTCTGTGAAATTTTTACCTCCTGGTATAAAAAGTTTTTAGTGTACTTGCACACTAAACTCTTAAACAGATCTGTTCTGAAGATCATTAAATCACATGTGCTAACACAGAGAATTCTCTTAACCATCCAAAAGTTAGAGAGCCCAACAAAACTAATTGCTCCCAGGAGAAAAGCTTAGTTGTAGTCTGTAGATTGACAGAAAGCAAGCAAAGGTAACACTAACAATTTTTTGCTCACTATGTAGTTTAAAAATAACTGTGGAAGATTGGTTGTTATTCCTCTTTTCTACAAACCAAGTGTTGAAGGCTGTCCACCATGTTTTGGAAGTGCTGTTGTATGTGGCTCTATATATGTGCTTGCAAACAAATGCGATTCTGTGTTCATGCTCAAACGCTTCTTAAACTGGCTAGTCAGAATCTAATGTCATATTTGATTTACAGGAGAAGACGGTCATCAGCATCCTTATCTGGCAGTAGCTCTTCCTCCTCCTCCTCACGTTCCCGATCGCCACCAAAGAAACCACCTAAAAGAACTGTATCCAGTCCTCCTCGTAAAACGCGTAGGCTCTCTCCTTCTGCAAGCCCTCCTAGGCGGAGGCACAGGCCATCCCCACCAGCAAGTCCACCTCCAAAACCACGCAGGTCTCCAACACCCCAGCAGTCGAATCGTGCAAGAAAAAGCCGTGGCTCTGTTTCTCCTAGCAGAACATCAGGTAATGAAATACAAATTTGTATTCCAGCGGGTTTATCATTTTGTGCTTTTGTTTTCTCAAAGATGGTGTTTACAGTTTGTATGAGCAGAAAAGCATGCAAGAATGTAATGAATTGCACCTGAGTTATTTGACTTTGTCTTTTAGCACCCAAACATAAGAGTACTGAAAAAAGAGAATCTCCTTCGCCAGCACCAAAACCAAGGAAAGCAGAACTGTCTGAATCGGGTATGGCTCTCACTTTTCAACACTGGTTTTGGGTGGGGTTTTTAATCAAAGATGCCTGGCGATAAAAGGCAGTGGTGAAGTGCTGAACCCTCTTGATAGACTGGCATTGAAAGCAAGAGTTTTCAGAAGTATAAAAATGATCACTCGTACTGCCTCAAATATTTCTATCCAAGCTTTCTTGGAGAAGAGCTCAGCTAAAGTCTATTCCAGCCTCAATGTTATCTTAAGATTTGGGTGGGGGGGAAGCATGCTTGATAATCTACTGTAATATGACTTTGCTTCTGCCTGAATAAGGTGAATTTGTATCTTTGGTTTAAATATTCTGTCCATGTATGTACCTTTTCAGAAGAAGATAAAGGAGGTAAAATGGCTGCAGCAGACTCTGTTCAACAGAGGCGTCAGTACAGAAGGCAAAATCAACAGTCCTCATCTGGTATGGATGACATAGATTTCCTAAAACTGGACTGTAGTTTACTTTTGCAGGAAGTAGTTAATATTAAGTTCAAATACTGATTACAATTATTTGCTGTGTGCACTGCAATGCTATTTTAAGCTTAATTATAGATTTACCCCTCATAATGAAGTCGCTTCAATTATTGCTCATGAAGAATGAAGTATGACTTTTAAAGGTTATGCTATATCTCTTATTAATGGGTTCGCATCTTTAACAGTTAAACTTTTAAACTCTTACCATCACACACAAAAATATTGTTTGCTATAGATTACTTAATCTGTTGTCGCAGTAGGTTATTTTGTACTATTTTGGACTCTTGCATGCTTGAGATCAGTAAATTAACCTGAGCCTGGTATAGGTTTTTGTCCACTTAATGGTTCTATAAGTAACTGCAGTTCACCTTTTAAATTACCTGTCTATTCAAATTTTATGTGGGTAGTTAGGTTGCTGCAAATATTTTTACCCAGCTCTGATGGATTTATTTATCACTTCAATTAACATTTTTAGTTGAACTGCTTTTAAATAGAAGCTTCTTATTTTGCAGAAGAGGACGTTGGTAGTTTAAACTGCAGTATAAGCCTTTCGCTAACTGTGTTAACAGTATCATGAGAATCATTTTCCGGAGAGTGATTCTTCTACATTTATAGATTCTGGTTCTTCATCTTCATCTGAAGAAGAAAGACCTAAGAGATCCAACGTGAAGAATGGGGAAGTTGGTAGACGCCGACGCCATTCACATTCGCGCAGTCCATCACCGTCTCCACGAAAAAGACAGAAGGAATCCTCCCCTCGGTAATTTCTTCTTAAGTTGAATGTAACTGCTGTCTTTTTTCCTAACTATTTAGTTAATGTTGTTTATCTGCTATGCAACTGTCAGCAAATACGTAATAGAATTAAGTCATGTCCAGTTTGCCCAATCTTGTTTCAAGATTGCATTCTGTTATGCTCATTTGGTAATAATTACTCTGAACTTTATTTGAATATGTTAATTTTTGCCTCAAATGTATGGCAGATAGATTTGCTTTGTTTTGTTTTTCCTCCACTGCTATCAGGATGCAGATGGAAAAGAGGTGGCAATCACCAGTGATGAAAAGGTTGGTTAGAAATTAATGTGTTAAGTAGGATTTACATATAGAAAATCATTTAGACAGGCTCTCATTTATTTTGTCATAGATAAGTACTTGCCGTCCTTTGTCCTTTGGACTTGCACACTCAAAGTAATAAGGTGAGGGAAGTTCAGACTGATGTGTTCCTTAATGTGTTGGATCTGGGACCATTTCACTGGCAAAAAAAAAAAAGTGGGGGGGAACACGTGCTCAGTCTCCTTCATTGCTCACTGCTTGTTAATTCACATAAGCTTGTAACAGCTAATAATATGTTGTTAGCATCTTACTGATGCCTGAAAACAACTGAATGCTTGTATTCTTTGGGGGTTTTCTTATTCCACGTACACAGATTTGAAAGACAGGTGAGCATTACTTTGTATTCTTGCTGCCATTGATGTTCTGGCTAAAACCCTCCCATACAGTTGCAACAAGTGATCAAGAGCTTGATGTTCTGGGTCACAGATAATTGGAATTTTCAAAAGTCTCATTCCTCAATTCATTAGATATTTCAACTACTAGTAGTGGACTAGTAGTGAACACCTACTTTATTTTCTCTTTTCTTATGTGGGTGGTATTGTTAACATTTTTATTTGTGAAATTGTTTGCTCTCTGTTGATCTTAGAACATAGCAAGGTGCAGGAAGTGGGGTGCTTGATGGGTTTATTAATCTGATATAATGACCCTTGTGAGCAATCTGTAATTACGACCCAGCTAGAATGTAGTCGCAGCATACATAATGATGTATGAGATTAAGCATGACTACTTCTACAAATGTAGACCACTCTAATTATGGATCTTGTCAAACAATTCTGTGTGAACCAGATTGGAATTCAAAGATCTTTATCTGTTTTGCAACAAACTAAATTCACCTACTGCCCATTGCGTAAATACATGTTTAATTAGGACAGCCATAACATTTGAAGACTGGTATTTTTTGCATCGTAAAAGAACGTTGTCTTTTGGAGCAAACTCTTATCTATAAAACGTGTAACTCGTTGCCTTGGAGAGCAGCAGCCAGTGTATTTGAAATCGAATCTCAATTTATGTAGATGAGCTTCTTTGCTTTTTAATTACTCTCATTTTTTTCCTTTATCCAGTCTCTAGGAAAGTATGCGTTTGATTAAAATATCCCCTTCCAGAAATCTGTTGTAAACCTTGCAGAGCAGAAAATGGCTCATTTTGTGAATGATGTTAATCCAGATAGCTGCAGTTCAGCAACAACTCTGATTTTTTCTCTGCATTTCAAGAAATAAGTAGTTTTGGATTTCAGATCTGTAGATAAAAGCTGTTTTCAAGAGTACAGTTTCACACTGTTTAATCTGATCCAACTTCAGACTGCTGCTGAATGCAGTTTTGGTCTGTCTGACACAGATGGGCATTCTCAGTTCCTCCCTTGTGTTGGATGTAGCAATCGTGTCTCTGCATGACGACAAAGAGGTGTTTTTGTTGGATTGGTCTCCTGGTGGATCAGTAAGCTGGTCTGACTCATTAGATGATCACTAGATTCAGTGCAAGGGAAATGGCAGAATGAGCTTTCAGGAGAAGAAAATGGGAGAGAGTTGGTCTTCCTCTTCAGCTACAAGATGCGAATAGACCAGGTTAAGCAGAATGTGAAATTGTCTCAGGAATGCTGTAGTGGGCTCTGAAAATTACAGTAAAATTATGTGTTGTCTCACACTCATTAGAAAGACAAATATATCTTTTTCCATCTTCTAATAGAATTTCATTTTGAAGTGCATGAACAATATAATTTTGTATAGTAAAAGCGGAAGAACAAAAAATAATAATCTCGTGGCTCAATTGCAACTTTTCTGAGAAACCTCTTTATCTCTTTAGTAGGAGGAGGAGAAGTCCATCGCCCCCACCAGCCAGGCGGCGACGGTCTCCTTCACCTGCCCCTCCTCCTAGGCGGCGGCGGTCACCTTCATTACCTCGTCGAAGGTAGTGTATTGCATTTTTGTCATGAAGTGGTTGCTTTTGGTTTGTTGACTTACAACTATGACATTTAAAAAGAACTGCCGTGATACCAGTTCCTTGATTCACGTGAGGGGAGTGTAATTTTGCTAGTGAGATTGTGAGTGGCCTGGATATCATTTGTATCAAATACAGAATAACACCCGTTAAGCTGTTTTTCAAAATGTTTGGTATTAAATGAAGCTTTAAAGAATTTTTAGAGTTCTTTTTCCCCTCTTTGGGTGGATTGCAAGACACTTGTAACTAATTCACATGCCTATGTGGCACCCGAACATTTGTTTTCTTTGTAGGTCTCCATCACCACCCCCGCGCAGACGCTCACCTTCTCCGCGGAGATACTCTCCACCGATACAGAGACGATATTCTCCTTCTCCACCACCTAAGAGAAGAACGGCTTCTCCGCCTCCCCCGCCTAAACGAAGGGCATCACCTTCTCCACAGTCGAAACGCAGAGTCTCCCATTCACCACCACCAAAACAAAGGAGCTCGCCAACTGCTAAAAGGCGTTCACCTTCGATATCTTCCAAGCACAGGAAGGGATCTCCTCCCAGTAGGTCCAATCGGGAAACACGTTCTCCACCACAAAACAAAAGGCATTCACCTTCGCCACGGCCTAGAGCTTCTCATACCTCTGCAAGCCCACCACCACCACGAAGGGGAGCTTCGGCTTCACCCCAGAGAAGACAGTCTCCATCTCCAAGCACTAGACCCATCAGGAGGGTGTCAAGAACGCCAGAACCTAAGAAGACAAAGTAAAAAAATTTGTCTTTGGTGGTAGTTTTGTGAGGGGTTTTTTGTTTGTTTTGTTTTAATGCAGTGGGAATAGCTAGGGAATCGCATTAAAATGGCTCTCATATCTCTTGAGATTGCTCAAGTCTTGGCAGCTTTGTTCAGCTTCCACCGTCACAACATTGATTTTCAGAAGTTTATTGGATTGGAAGCATCTGTTAAAATAAAGTACAACACGGGGAGAAGCATTAAAGAGGCTTTATGTAGAGTTTGAGACGGTCTTTTAATAGCACAACAAAGCACTGGGACTGAGCAGGTGAAAACAAGTTTGAGAGAAATCTTGTTGCTAGCTTTGTTTAAAGAAAAATGAACTTTCTCTTACTTTAAAGCTAACTGCAGAAGGAAATCAACACTTCTCATTAGCTCATAAATCATTTCATAAGTGGTCATCCAAGAGAAAAAAAAATTTAGAATTTTAGCAGTTTTCTTTAGTTGACGCTGCTTTTGTGAGCAGATAGACAAAAGTATGGTGCTGGCTTGTTCTTTCAGAAAGAATGCAGCTGAATGTAATTTCTTGCACTTTCTTCATTGGATGATAAAATAATAGCATTGCTATTCTCTTGACTTTTAATGTGGTTATAAATTAGTCATATCAGAAGAAAGGGAGCAATCATTTCTGAACAACAGTAGCAGTATTGTTTAACAAGCTATCAAGTTGCAATATCCTTTTGCATTATGGATGCACAGTGGTATTAGATTGTTTTGCCTTTTGTAACACATGCCAGCAAAGTAACTAATCATTCTTTAAGTGGCAGCTTAACCGAGTTATAAGCACATAAGTTCATTTGGCTTGTTTGTTAATTTTTACTTTCTTGTTCTGTTTCTTAAATCTCTCAATTGTGGCTCTTCTATTTTTAAGGGCTTCCACACCAAGTCCACGATCTGCGAGACGGGTGTCTTCATCACGGTCTGCATCAGGGTCACCTGAGCCAGCACCGAAAAAGCATCAAGGACCTCCATCTCCTACTCGGTCTCGTTCTCCTTCTGCAAACTGGTCACCTGCAAAAAAGGCTAAAAGCCCAACTCAGAGCCCATCACCTGCAAGGGTATTTGTTTACTAATAAAAGCAATAGTGTTTTGGGTTATATGGCAAGTTATTTTCATGAAGACTTACCTGATGAACTAAGTGAGGTGGTCTTATTTATGTTTAGTAGTCTTACGTGCAAACTCGGACTATTCCTAATAGGAAGAGAACGGATTGTTAGGCATCATTATCTGTTCTCCTGAGGTATTTCCTAGGGACACTTCCATTCTCTGCCAGAGGAGTGTTTGAGGGAGTTAGACTCCACCTGCAGTATTAACCTTTATAAAGAGGCTTGTCTGTCATTGCTATGACCAGCATATCAAGTTTGCATGGTGTTATGTTCTGTTTTAAACAGACACAGCACAGTCGTGCATTACAATGTCTGTCTCCTAGGATTGCTTCTCTCACTTGATTGGGAATGTTGTGACTTTCCCCCAGTTCTGAAGAAGGTGTAGAGTTTACCGAGTTTCAGATGTTGCTCAGTCCATTCACATTTCCCAGAATGGTTGTGGGCTTGTTAAAACAACATTTTGAAGCCTTAGGGATGAGTCGTAATATCTATTGAATTGTTTGTTACAGAATTCAGATCAAGAAGGGGGTGGAAAGAAGAAGAAGAAAAAGAAGGATAAGAAGCATAAAAAGGATAAAAAGCACAAGAAACACAAAAAACATAAGAAGGAGAAGGCTGCGGCGGCTGCAGCAGCTGCTGCTGTGGCTGCAGCAGATACCACATCAGTACAGGAAGACCAGGAAGCAGAGACAGAACCCAAAAAGGTAGGAATTTGGTACCTGTGCTTTACTGTTTAAGAGTCCAATATAAGAAAATAAACGGAGGTGAATGTACACTGTACTCTTGATGTTCTAAACGGCAGTCATACTTAAGACATGCAACTTAGTGTCTCATGATTTTACTTGACAATTTGCAATATTGGGAGGGCTGGATCCTGGCTTAGTTTCAGTGTTTGAAGAAATGCTTTATCTTTGTTCGAAGGAGACAGAAAGTGAACCAGAAGACAACCTTGATGATCTAGAAAAACACCTGCGAGAGAAGGCACTGAGGTCAATGAGGAAGGCGCAAGTGTCACCACCATCCTAGGCTGAATCCTTTGATATAATGTACATTTTATTTGGTTTGTACTCAGAATTCAATTTCAAATTGCTAAATGTGTTTGAGCTTTAGAATATAACATTTGTTGTAATAATTGCTAGGTTGAGGTTCACCATGTACAAAGGGCATGGATTTACATTACAAAAGGTGTCCACAGTGTACTAGTGACATTCTTTCATTGACAGTCAACATAATTTCATTTAGAGTGAGACTTTTTTAGAAGCAGTAGGAATTTGTTTCGAAGGTTTTAAACATGACCGTCAATTCCCTAGTTTCTTTGAAATTCAACAAAGCCTTTAGCATAATTTGTGAGGGTCTCATTTGACTTCTTTTGTATCCACTTACATTACGCTACTAACCTTTGTGGTTTGTAAGCTTGCCCAGAAGAAAAACCACTGCAGAATTACCAAGGAAGTACATATATTTTAATGCTTTCTACTGTTGCCTGTATAGTCTCCATTAAAGCGAATCAAGAATAGCAATTTAGAATGGTACATAAATGAAAGCATGTTGTTTACCAGGACACTGTGGGTTTATATTGATGTAACATGTTGATTTGGAACACTGGAATTTCATTTGTATTTTTATGTTCTTTTTTTAAAGGGCAGTTTCCATGATCAGCAGTCCCAGAAAAAATTCCTTCAGTTACATAAATTTTGTTTGTGAGATGTCGTTGCCCCATTCATAAATCTTGTCTTGTTACGGTTCTTCTGAATGGTATAAGCAACTTTCAGAGATGTGGTCTTTGAAAGTGTGAGGAACCTGAACTTTGGATATTGTCATGTTTTCACTGTTTTTTGTTTTTGTTTTTTTAACTAAAGCTATATAAAGCTTGTGGATTAAACAAAAATAAATTTCTAAATTTAAACAGATGTTGGCTATTTTTATATGAACATTTACATTTGCTAATCAGCTTTCTTTTGTACAGGGTTAATGAATACACAGATATGGAAAAGTATTTGATCCAGTACGCTGGCTTCTGAAAAATTGGGGCTTTTGTTTTTAACTGTCCTGGGGTAGCAGAAATAGCCCTTTGTTAATTCAGTGATGCTCCTGTTGTGTCTGGATTGGTGTTCTTGCAAAGCAAGAGTAAAACAGTCTACCTGGTCAGCACTCTGTTAGGATGGATAAGCTTAAAACAAACAAACAAAATATTTGCTGGTGAAAATTGCTTGTCATAGCAAGTAAAATGTTTCAAGGTCCTGCAAAAAATTAATGGCAGGTTTGCATTAACTTAGTTACAAGCTTTAGTCATGTAAACACTGGTTTGAATGCTCATCTAAAGAATCCTGGTGGCTCGCTGCCTTTTTCATAATCATATTTGAAACTTGCTGGATTGCTACTGTTGAATTTTTTAAAAAATTCAAGCTCTGTTTTTGAAATCAAGTCAATTCTGAAGTCTAAGGTTCCTCTGGAAAGAGGAATGGAACGTGCTTTTGAAAATTTTTGTCCTGCATCTGAAGTAGATGTGATGTGCACAATTAAGTGTAGATATTTGATTAGTCTTTTTACTTGGCATCGTGTAGGGTTTTAAAATAAAACAGGTATTATGTAGATACTGGATGGAAGGGGATATCTTTAAAGTAGCTTCCTTCTGCACTTCCTTATATGCTGAATCTTTTGTTTCTTAGCATAAGTATACATTGTATGCTAAAGTGCTTGTAAACTTAGTTCAACAACACTTGAATGTTGAGTATCATCTGTTATTAAATGTGTATAATAAATTCCAAGAACTTTCTGGACAAACACATTTTATAAAGTACATCTGAGTGAATTCGGTACTTATGAAACTACAGAACCTAACAACGTATTGTGCTAATCTCGTTGCCTTGTTTTTGGGGTTTTTTTTTTTTGTTCCTGCAATGTTCCTTGGCAGCACAAGCGATTCTGAAATTCAGTCTTAGAAGACCATACATGTGCAGTCCTGACAAGGAGTTAATGCCTCGTTCTTTATAATAGGAATCTTACTTCCATCTGGGTTTTGTGACCTCTGTGTGCCTTTTAATCTTAGGACTAATAGAAGTTCTTTAAATATATTAAATACCTGAGTCACTGACTGCTTATCTTCCCTTATACCTATTTTTCATCTCCTGCCTGTAGGACTGCACTTTGATAAAGGACTTCACTGTTGATTTGGACAAGTCATGAAGGAAGGCCAGACCTTCCCAAGGTGGTCAGGTGTTTCCCTACCCTTTTTTTCTCCTTTGGAGTTTCTGTTGTTAGGTGCTCCCTCCTATTTTTTTTTTCTTTTTTTTTTCCCTAAACATCTAGCCATAAAGAATGGTTTAATTTTAAAAAGAGCAATTAAATATGCTGGTTTAGAAGAATATAACTTCTAAATTGTGTTTAGTTTAATATTTTAATTCCTTCTGACTTAGCCTTTCATTCAAATAGTAGCATAGCATTTAAATACCAGTCAAGTGATAGCAAGCCTTCTCTTGTCTTCTCATGAGCTGTTACACTGTTCTTGCTGCTCTAAATTGTGTTGCATAGATACTTTTTAGTACAAAATCACTCTGCTGGGACGATAACCTTTAGCATTTGTGTCTGTACTGTGAAACTCTGTCCTGGTGAACTGTTGACTTACATCATTGAATTCCTCTCCTGATCCTCTGTAATTGAGATCCCATCATCCAAACCCAAACTTGTCTGATCTGTTCACCACTCGATCTTCTTGGTTAACCGCTTATCTCTGTTTCTCAATCCTTTTATTTGTAGTCGTGCTGCTGTAGTTCAGAAAGTAACCACGTCGGATGCCTTGTGCAACACGGCAGAACCTCTGGTGCATGAATCTCGCTCGCTTTTCTTACTCTGAATCTGCTAATGCTGTATGCTTGTGTGTTAATCAAGGCTACCTTTCTGAAATGACAGATACATGGGTTTTGATGAGTGACTTGCTGGAATAACTATATCTTAACTGTGCAAAAAAAAATTTTAATAAATTCAAGTTTAAGTGGACTGTATAATTTACATGAAAATGAGTCCACAGGAGTGAACGTAAGGATGAAGTGAGTCACTGGCAGGTCAGTATCTGCGGTTCATAATAAAGATGTATTTGTTATGTCAACAGATGGGACAACAGCAGGTGTATGGCAATAGTTTGAAGTTTATAGAAACTCAGTGCTGGATTATTAAATTTTTCCACTTGTGTGACTTTGGAAATTTGCCTAGGGAGTTCTGTGTGGACCGGCTTCCTGAGCTTCACCACTGCAGTTTCACGCTCTGAAATGAATTTATGAATTGCCTTAATGTTCAGGACAAAGACTGTTCTGCTGGTTTGAGAAGTGTCTAGTACTCCCTGAAAGCAGATGTAATCTGAATGATAAATAACAGCACTAAGGCAGAGTTCTGTGCTCAGAGCTGTAACTGTAAAACTTTGCACATTAAAGCTCATACGTGCTCAGCTCCATGTCTGACACAGTTAATCTAAGCAGAGGCCCAGACCTGGAGGACAGGCTAGTGCAGGCTGTGATGGGAGGTGCATCAACTTGGAGGAGGAACAGCTTAAACATCACGTGCATTTTTGCACTCTTGACTTCATTCCTCAAACACCAAACCTACTACTACGTGTGTTTTGGTATAAAAAGTAGTGCTATTGGAAGAGTAGCTTTCAGCAGGGCATTGAACTGTAGTTGGAGATTGAGTTTCATTTCAACTGTTGTATGTGATAACTTACGTTTTAGCATAGGCTTATCTGCTCGCAAAACCTTGAATTGTCTGCTTAAAGTCTGTTGTTAATGTCACGTAAGTATCCAGCAAGACGGTCACAAGCACTGACAGCGCTCGATTCGCTTCTCAGCCAGAGTCCAAAACTGTAGTAGAGACTTTGGCAGGTGCGGAGAGCTGCTGCTCCTTAGTGTTACCTTCCCCCATGGCTTTCCAGCCTCCTTCACTTTGCTGAATAGTGACTTGGTTTCCCTCTTGTATGATTTTTTTTTTTCTCCCCTGTCATATTCACAGAACTTTCCTGTGGAGTTGTTTGTTTTTCTTGATCAGGTCTCAGTCATTGTAATAAATTACTGTGAAAGTAGTCTATCTCTTCAAGGATAATAAAAAGATTATTAAATCTGAGAACAATGGAGTAGGCAGTTGTGTATTTCCAGACTAATCAACGGTTTGACTTTTGGACTTTATTTCAACTCTTCTAGAATGAGTTCAAAGAGGTTGTAACTGCTCGAGTTCATTCAGCTATGGCATGAAGAAGATAGAGATCGTTTCCCGCCCCACTGGCTGGAGGTAGATGATGTCCTGTAACAGTGACTTATCTGAGCTCTTTCTGCCCCGGAAATCAGATAGTCAGCTGCTTAAACTACAGCAAGAACATTGCCTTTCTTGCTGTATTACACTCTTGAATGCATAACATACATAAACTATTTATCTTGTAACCCTGTCTTTGTTTCAAGCTAGATTCTGGTTGAAAGATACTGTTCGACTTATGTTTTCTGTTCGGGTTTAGTTCTGACTTGACTCGGTAGCATTTCCTTTTAGTAAGAGCGAAGCTTAGCTAACATCCATCATGCTTAAAAATCTTATGGTCCACTTGTGATAATTTGTGTTTGCTTCCTCGGTTGCCTGGAGGTAATCAGTGTGCAAATACACGGGCAAGTTCTTTATATGCCCCGTTCTGTGTGTGGATTAATCCTTGGGAAGATGGTTGGGAAGTGTGGGATTTAATTTAATTGATCTTAAAATAGGAGAACAACCAGTACACAGCTGGGCGTGATCAGACTTTGTTCAGAGGGCTGGTCCTCAATTTATCACTGTGGATTTATTATTAACACATTTGGCTGTTTTGCAGGGTTGGGTGAAGGGAGCTAACGCAAGCGGAGAGTTCTGTAGGTAACTCTGACACTGTGTGTGCCGTATAGATCGAGCAGCTGAAGATGCTTATGAGAAGAAGGATTCAGCTTAGGAGATCCATGTGGTTTTTACCTTTAAAGGAAAGTATTTGGGGTTTTTTGCCTTAAATGCAAGCTGTGGTTATTGCAGGGCTATGCCTTTTGGGATATCCTGGAAGAAGCAGAGACAGGAGCTGCTTCCCCTGGCCACGCTCTTTGCCAGGGCAGGATGCATTTGCAAGTGCCTTTCACCAGGTGGGGCTGGGCGCAGGAGGGGAGGACTGCGCAGCGGGAAAAGACCACCTCTATAATGGGATTCTGCCCTTTAAATCTAGATTTTTATTAGAATATTAAATTAGATTTAATCAAAAATTAGATTTTTTTATTAGAATTGCTGTTTAAAGTTGTATCTGTGCAAGTCTAATTTATAGTTACCTATTGAAAAGGTATTCAGTGTAGAAACATTCAGAAAAGGACAGATGGGCACGAAGCCTCGTTGTTAAGTGCAGAATTTGAGTCTGTGGCCCAAACACCCAAAGATTTGGGTGTTGTGGTGGGAGAAAAGTCTTACTAACACTGTAAAATAGTCTTTAAGGTAGGGGTTCTTCTTTACTAAGAGAAAGTTTAATTTCTTCACAATGTGAAAAAGAAATAATGTTGGACTCGCTTGCCCTGTTCACTAAAGCCTCAGCTGTTGATGATCACTAATGAAGAACAGATGCACAGCATGGCAAAGCAGTAAACATTTTCTAAAGAAAAATATATAGGAAAATATACCAAACTTTACCAAAACTGTTCTAAGCTCTGCACGTGTTGAAGGAAGAGGCGTGCTTTGTGCTGTCTTGAACTTGGAAAGAACAGCAAGAAAGTACAAAAAGCAAAATCCCTCGAACGGATTCAGTTCCAGGCAGTGAAGAAGCAGCTGCACTGAGCTTGTCCACAAACCTACCAAAGTAACGTGGGAATTGTTCAGTTGCTCAGCTTTTGAAGAGGCAAATGGCTGTTAAAATTATCAGGCATTGCAAAAAAAGCAA